GTAAGACTTTTGAATTCAAGACCGAGACAATGACGTTTGGAAGTAAGACGTTTATCGTTACTGGGGTTTTGCCTGAGGAGACTAGAAAAGTTAATATTCTTTAGAGATCTAAGGATTAGATTGTTTTGATGGTAAACTGATATTGGGGGTGTTTTGTATGTGAGATTGGTGATTTGGAGATATTTCTTAGATTCTTTTTCTGCACTTTTGCAAAAATGCTTTTTGGTGAGGGCGTGGAGGGTATATATTTCAGCGTCTGGGATGGCTGGTTTGGATTTTGTCGTTTCGAGAGAGGTTTAAATGTTAGATAGGAATAAAATTATGTATACGGAGATTTTATGACATTGAATATCTAAATTTGTGACTTTTGAGGTGAGGATGTATTGTACACTCGGATATTGAATGTTGATTGGGAAACGAAATGCGCTTTGGACATATGATATCGCTGAGATATTATCAATCCATGTTTTTGTGAGCCTCGTAGTTCTGCCCTGTTCGCGACCGTATGAATTTGAAAAGACACTGAGATGCCTTCTTATCAACCTTCATCGCTGAGAACGAGAGCAGATATGGCGTGCTCTCGAGACATTAGTCCTCCAAAATTTGGTTCTTTTGTATAGCGTTTCAGCTCTGAAGAAAGTAAAGAGGATACATGCCAAGCTTTCGAATGATAAATTTTTTACTCCGAATGAAATTATTCTTACATTGAGAGATCAGACTCGGATATAGTTCCGACGTTTAATAAAAGCTTTGGGATTTGAAGTGGAAATATTAGCAACTTATCATCCGAGGTGTATGATTAGAAGCCAATGATCTGGAACCTTACTTCCAGAAGTTCAGCCTTTTTGGTTAGAAACGAGGTTGATTTGTTCTTCAGAATATGTGATAGATATGCAAAAGAACGTAATGAAACACAGTGATTGGTGGAGCTCTGGTGACGATCACGAGATCGCTGACTGCAGCATCTGCATCAATAGAATCCTTTAAGCCCTGGCCGAATGAGTCAATCCTCCCCCAGAATTTCCGACTCGTTTTCCCAACCCACTCTTTGCTCGGGGAAACAAACTCAGCTCGCCGTGAAGCGAATATCATAATAGGGGGTTTACAGCTTTGACCAAATCGTGAACAGTACGTATCTAAGGTTACGTCAGTTCCAATAATCTGTATTTGGTGTGGGGTTGATAAGGATTTTGGATATAAGAAGCCCAAAGTTGACCACAGTGAAAAGACAAGCACAAAACCTTAACGAGAACAAAATAGAACGCACCTGTCGATACTAAAATCTAACCAAACACTATCAAGATGAATCCAGTTAATGCCAAGCCTTACGAACTTCCAGCTGATGCAACCTGGTTGAGTGCGCTACTCCCCAACTATCATTGCGAGTTTAAGAAAGCAAATGACTAATGTCTATCGTGAAAAGTTACCGGCTGTTCATCTGGAATCGGCCGAGCCATCTCGGGATTAGTCACCAGTAAACCCAATCAGCGTTTGATTGCCACAGCTCGCAATCCATCCGATCTCGCTTACCTTCCCGACTCTAATCCTAATATTCTTAAACTCGCTCTCGACGTAACCTCTGCTAAGTCAATTAATGAAGCATTTGCTGCTGTTTCTAAGCATTTCGGTGACTCTTTCCATCTTGACATTGTTATCAACAATGCTGGTTACTCCCTTTCTGGAGACACCGAATCGGCGACTGAGGAAGAAGCTCATTTAGAAGTCGAAACTTTATTTTTTGGCACAGCCAGAGTCACAATGAAAGCTGTTGAAGTTATGCGCCAGCATAAAGAACATCGTGGAGGAGTCATTTACCAGATTTCTTCTCTAGCGGGATTGTGTTCATTTCCTGGTAATGCTTATTATCACGCTGGTAAATATGCAGTGGAAGGTTGGACTGAATCTGTTGCGCGAGAAATGCATCCTGATTGGAATAGTATGTTGATAATCACTTTCGCATTTCACTTCATTGTCTCTTCCCACACAACTAACGAGACCTCTTTTGACCAGTTAATTTTTGTATAATCGAGCCATCTGGTGTGAAAACCAACTTTGAAGGCCACAGCAAAGCTCACACTGCACCTCATCCCGCTTATTCTGCTTCCGATATGCCTGCTCGTATACTCGAGAAATGGGTAAATATGGGTATCAAGAGCGGTGTTGGTATGCTTGACCCCAATGGTATAGCAGAAACTATCTATAAGATAGCTAGTCGTGGAGAGAAAGTACCACTTCGACTTCCTTTGGGTCCAACGGCGTGGAAGTTGATTAGACAGAAATATGAGGGGTTTTTGGGAGAGTTGGATGCGGTTAAGGATATCAGTTTTATGGGGAAAGATACTTGACTTCAGGCCGTGAAACTTTCCGAAGTGTGGAAAAGATTTCTCATGGGATCACCGGAAGATGGGATAGATAGGGTGGAAGGTCTTGTAATTGAAAGAGATTCAACATCTCTTCAATGCCGAGGCTTTTTCGTAAAAACATTGATCCGGTCCGAACTTTTTTTGACAATTCATCAACTTCACAAGTCAGGGATGCTCAATCAAAATACATCATACAACGCTGTTATTATTATTATTATTGATTGATTGATTGATTGATTGATTGATTGATTTAATTAACGTCCTTTTCTCAGTCCAAGACTATTTAGGACGGCTAGGCTTTAAGAACCTAATAACTGCTAGTGGATATCTATAGTAGATATATTCAATTTGGGGGAGTAAAAACGAATGCTGGGGTGCTATGCCCGATCTCTATTCGGAGTACAAATAGAGATTAAATAGTCTTCATCCTCTAAGACACTTCCTTCCTCACTCTTCCCCTACCCCTAATCCAATTAAAGCATCCCAATATCCAATTTCTCTTTTTAAAATCCTAAATCCAATTTGCTATCCTTCCCTTTCTATAAAAGACAAGAGTTATCCCTTTCCGAGTTGCTTCCAATATAACAAAGAATCCTCTTGCTAGTAAGATAGCAAAAAAAGGCACCACTCTTCTCTATCTTTATCTCTTTTAAACTAACCCCTTGTATATCTTCATAAGCTTGATATCCTCCAGCTCTTATTAGATGTGTATAATCGAAACTATTGAAAATAATGGGGCAAAGCCGAATCCTAAACTCTATTGCCCACACACAAATCAATTCGGAAAATTCGAAAATTCGAAAATTAAAAGAAAAATATTGTATTATATCAATACCCAGAGCATGGTATTAATTTGAAAGCGATGGCATTCTCTGTATTGTATCGTCGTAGTATTCGAGTGGCTAAAAGCCAAAGGGTATAAAAAAGGGTTGTAGTACAAGTAGAGCAACGGCAAGCTCTATATCGAAAAGACTCTTCTAAAAGAAGAAACCTACTACATATCATATTTCTATATTTGAAATAGTAATCGATGGTAGATGTTGAATCTAACCGGGGCTTCCGTAACCTTCGTATCCACGTCTAAAGCTGGTATTCAACTCTTCGTAGGTATTGCTGTTGTAAAATCGTAATATAATCCTTCGCTATATCTCTGAACCTCTCTCCTTCCAATTCTTCCAATTCCATCTGCGACTCAATCTTAGCTCTGCAGACTCTCAAGAGAGAGCTGGAGGTTCGTAGGATGCACCGCGTACAGGTGTTGAGTCTTCGCATCCCTATTATTATTATTATTATCGCTGGATGGGCTGATATATACTATCCTCATTTCCTTGCCTCGCAAACTGACCCACACATAACCTACTTATTTGTCTACTTGATTTGCAACACCCAACCTGCTCATCTTCATTTTTGTGCTGCTAGGAAGTTTCTCCAAGGCTTTCGAAATATGATATTTGAAGCCCCGCTTTTTTCGGTTGTGATGAGGATTTCTCCAGAATACTTTCGATACCTCCATTTGTCTCTCTCGCTGCTTGTTTACTTCAACTAATCGTCTGGCTAAATCAGATGCCGAAAGATCCCCCTGACGCCAAGACAGATCTTCTTCTGACCATCGAGTAATGGAAGGTTCTAGAGGGGTCCAGGTCTTGTCGTTCAGCTCAAGTCTATCCTCCAAGTTGTAACCGGATTGAAGCTTATTGTCTTTTCCTTCATCCGTATCAAAGCTGCAACTAGCCATTCTAGCTTCCAGTTCCTTATCTAAGTCATGAATCTCCCTTTCATCTTCCTCTTGTATAGCTGGTAGATCAGGGCTTCGTGATCGTACATGACCTTGTCGAAGCTGATCAAAGCCGATCTCGACAGGTGAACCTAAGCAATGATAGTCGTCTATATCATCTGACAAGTTGTCATGGCTCAGATCGAATGCAGGTGATTGAAGTGAAGTGCCAACATTGACGCTGGTAGAAGATTCATTTCCTTTTTCATATAATGACGGCGCATGAAGCAGATCATCATGGATAGCATTGAGCGAGCCCTTGGATTGAGACGATCGGACATATTCGTGTGATTTGAGAGGTTCAGTGGAGGGCGACACTCCGGCATCCAATTTTGGGGTGCTTGTATCGTAGAGAGGTCCTCCAGATGCCATCTTCTCGATACCCTCGTTTCTCCGCTTGACGATTTCCATTTTCTCGATCGATACAAGCCGTAATATGCAGGATGAATTTGATGTGAGTGATCTTCTTGAAGATCTTTTGGTAGAATATCGGAATGCAGATTTTGTGGTTTATATCAATACTGTATTCTATGTGCTTCAAATAGTTACAAAGAGTATTGGTTATAAGGGGCGCTGAGAAATTTGATCAAAAGAAAACTATCATGATGGGCGCCCTTCAACTGTATTTTGGTTCTGTTCGTTCCTTCTCTGTGTCGACAGATGGTTGCTCTTGCGAGAAATTCTTATTGTGCATGGCAACAGCGAGCAGTCGAATTTCATCGCATATCACAAAATGTGTCTGCACCCACAATCTATCCTCAATTAATAGCATTTCAGGAAAATAATCTTGGGCACCAAAATTGTATTACTTATCAGAATTATTATTGAAATTTATCATTCACATTGCACGATCAACTATTAATATGAGCGGCCACAGTTATACGGAGGGACTGGAGGCAATGGGCCATAAAGCACACTCAGATGGCATAGGATATAGTGCGATTTATAGTTGGTATGGCCAAACCATGGATCGTCTCCAGAGTGATGACTCCAATGTGTCTGAAGAGTTTCGATCACTGACGGCCAAAGTCGAGACATGGAAACATTTCTGTTAGTGGGCTACTTCTGGAGAATTTGCCTCGCATACTGATCTTGCTACAGGGCCTGATGAACCTTTCTTCGCGGGTATATCGTCAAAAAGCACCTCGAGACAATCCTTTGAGTCCAGAGATCAAAATCAATCCAAAAGCCTGTAAAAAGATCCACTTCCACTTCACCAGAACAGGATTCGTCGCAGGAAACTCCCACTACACTCTTACCAACTGCAGGATCGTCAAAACAACCCATCACACCAAATCTGAGTCGATCGCCAATTAAGACACAGCAAGCATCCCATGGCAATATGAAACGGGATCACAAGAGGTATCACGACGCGATTTGCGCAAACTGTAATATGAGAGGTCACATCTTGAGTCACTGTGTGGCTCCTGTGGACGAGTTTGGGTTCATCTCAGGTTGTCCGCGATGCAATACTAAGAAGCATTTATATGATGAATGCAGTGCGCTACCAAAGTCTACAGGCAGGGGAGATTGGGCTTATCTTATTCTGGTATAAATCTCCAATGTCTGAAGGCCTTTGGGATTCATGGCTAACATTGTGCGACCAGAAAAGAATGAACTGTCCTCCAATTCGTTCGTCTAAGGATATTCGTAATTTTTTAAAAGTTAAGTCGGGGAGACAGCACCCATGGACATACGACTTTTCCTTGAAGCAAGTAGGCAAGTTTGAGGTATCATACGATGATTATGGGATACCGAAGGGATTATATCCGGATCCAGCATGGGAAACACCAGATAAAGTTCTCTCTCAAGCATACCCCCGCACAATGGATACAATCTTACCAAGGCTATGGTACTTTCACTGGAGATTAAATCGAAAGTCGGCCGACCTAGGCTACAAGTTTGAAGTATTCCTAAAGTCGATGAGCGAAGCAGCAAGTGATAGTGAAATCATTACTAGTGAGATTGTTCGCTTGGCAGAAGCTCTCGAATGTATTTCAGAGTTTGAGTCAAAAAAAGCTAGAGGAGAGTGGTTGACCATCCGGATGAGAAAAGATATCAAGACAAAACAGGCTAAAGAGCTGGAATTTGAAGCAAAGCTGAATGCTTATCATGCACCAGAAAACTATCGCCCAAGAAACCATGATTCATCTCCAGACAATGAAAGAACCGTTCCTTCGGCCGAAGAAAAGGGAAAAGGCAAGGCAATAGATGTTCACAGTCCCTCATCTTCCCACAGTTATGCAGAAGAAGAGCAGAGCATGTATCAGAATTATACACAGAGGTATGCACCTGATAATCCCTTCAATGAAGGTACTTCGTCAAATGTCCCAAGCGAAAGCACACCTACGTCTGAGAATTTGGTTGTTAGAAAAGAATTCGGAAGTAACCTCACTCCCGCTGTCGAAAATTACAAACGGCGAGATTTATCATCTCCAGAAAAAGTTCTAGATTGTGTTCCTGTCAATATAGATACTCAGTCAAGTGGTCAAAGCGAACAAGGAGAAAATCAACTGTCAAAATTTGCAGAATTCAAGTACGAACAATCTAAGGAACAGAAACAGTTGGAGAAGAGAATTTCCAACCTAAGGAGAGACCTCAAAGAGATCAATAGCTTTGAGAAGAGGGTGGAGATGTTGACGACCAATCAGTGCAATCAACTTAAGATGAAAGAACTCAAGGAGAGGGAGTTGAGGGTATTGTTAGAAATCCGTGGTCGATACGTAATATCCCCCGAACCAATTTCTGGCTCGAAGATTAACACGAGTGAAAGGCGTCAATCTTTCGGAGCACCAGGAAATCAAGCACCTAACCTGGAGTATCCAGCAAATCGTCACGACAGCAGTAGCGGAGGCAGTAGTAACAGTAGTGGTAAATCTTCAACAAGCGAAGAATTGCCACCGGAAGGCTTGCAGGTCAAGAATCTTAAATCCAAAAATATTAGACGGAATCCAGTGATGTCTACCTCATCAGTACCAAGACACTTACAACGCCTTCTTTCCCAAGCATTAGAAAGTCGCCTTTGAGCTATGTTCAAACCGCACCAAGTGTAGGAGTCCAAGATTCAAACGACAACAACAATTCCACGGGCCCTGAGGAGTCACAGTCTTATCTCGTTGTAACGCAAGACACATATCCGGCATTGAACAGAAGACAAAAAGCTAAGGGTATTTCGCATAAGGAATTGAACCGATCATCGAGTGATGCACGAACCATTGCCCCCGCTGCTAAGACAATGACCATTATTGCCAGACCACAGTCGCTGAGACGGTTTAAAACACGTGACTGGAAGTCAAGATAAATTCCCGGTCTTGAATGAAACACAAAGTGAGAGTGTCGCAGATAGTCGTTCGAAGCTATCCTCGAGTCACACACAAGTAGCTACATCCGATTCTGGCAACAACAAGAAACAGATGGTAATTTCAGATTCTACGGAATCACAACACTTGCAATCCACTAATGAGGTCAAGAATCAAACAGGGCTTATCTCCGGGCCCATGGAGTCAAGGAACTCACCAAAGACCATTGATAATAGCCAAAATCTGCCTTCAGCATCAAATGAAAAACAATTTGGCCATGTTGCAAATAAAAACATGGAGCTAGCTTCAAGGGAGGTCCAAACGGTTTCCAAGGTTGACGATATCCATCAAGATGCTACCAAGTTGAAGGAAAATCACCTTCAGCAGAGCCGCCCACCATATGTACCTCCTTTCAAAGCAAAGCAGATGTTAGCTTCAGAAGAGAAATTGCCTTTGACATTGCCGCAAGGAAATAGTGAATCATCCTCATCGATTTATAAGCCACCACATAAAAGAGAAAAGCAATCACTACGGGACAATGGACATCAATCATCGTTACTGGAAGAAGACACTGCAAACCACGGCAAATCAGCCACACCTGTTCATATACTACCACAGATGAGAATCACGCAACCTACTTCAAAGACCGAATCACCGCCTTCAGTGACGCAATCCCCAATACAGATTATAGAGCCGGAACAATCATCTTCAACGAATGGTTCGATTTCGCAAAATCAACAGCTATTGGACTCAGAAGTAGCATACCCGAAAAAATCAAACAAAAAGTCCTCGACTCCAACAGATCAATCTTATTTAGAAGCAGATGATGAAGATTCCAGTTCTATGCCTCAATTTCAAACAAGCCCTAGATCTTCTAATTTACAGCAGAAATCACCCAGAACTATGAGGCGGAGTGAGAGACAATGTACATCATCATCTGGTGCATATCTACCAGAGCCAGAAGATCCTTTATTGACAACACGTTTGCAGGAGACTGTTTCTAACCCTAGTAATTCATGGCCGGAACTTCTAGATCCTGATTCCTTTGCTGATTCTCTTGATTGTGAATGGCCCAATGATAAAATCGATTTATCAGTCCCATTGCGAGATCCAGATGTCTTCTTATTGGATAATGAAGATTGCAATACTAAGGAACCACTAAGGTCACCAATCGCACTGCCAGATCCAGATACCTTCTTAATTGATAATGAGGATTGCAATACTGAGGAATCGCTAAAGTCATCAATTCCACTACCAGATCCAGATATCCTCTTACTGGATGAAGAAGATTGTAACAATAAGAAATCGCTAAGATCATCAATCCCAACAATACTACACTCCCGTTCTCACAGGCAGAGCAATCATGCAAGCAGTACAATATCTGGTGGGAATTCAAAAATCCAAGAAGCAGACAAAGCCGTGTCAGACGAAAATGCAAGCAAGATATGTTTTACGTGCGATAAAGTAGGACATCATACAATTGATTGCCCCTCGAGCTGGAGACTCGACGCATTGGTTCTTGACAATTTTCCTTATTCGAGCTCACGATACCGTGCTGGCTTAGGAAACTCTATGCAGGCTAATAAAGCTAATGAGCCAGATCTCAATCTCGGCGCCAATAATTCTACCCCGACTTGGTCCAGGAGCGGTTATCCGGATTACACATCACTTCCTGGCAATTTTCCTCATCCGAACCTACCGCATATTGCAGATGCAGGGAACCAGCTACACGCTAAACCTAAGTCTGATCTCGATCCCCCCACGGATTTTTTCTACCCGAGTCGGTTAACAAAAGGTGATCATCTAGTCGAGGGACTACCTGGGAATTGGATCGAGATAGCGGAGAAAATCTCAAGTTTTTTCCACGCGGATTGGGATCAAGAAGTGAACAAGCTAATTGAGACTCGGTATTGGGAAGTCCAGAAAGTCATGAGAAATACGGGCGACAATTTCAGTCTTGGGAATAATTCAGATGATGAAGGGTCAGGAGAGGAAAAATCAGAAGACGATGAAATAATCTTGAGATATCCCTGGCAAACGAAGAGCTCTGACTGCACACTTCGGAAGGAAACTAGGGAGAGAAAAAAGAGACTCCCTGCTCCAACTAAAGCAACTGCCGACAAAATGGGACATGATTATAACATGGAGGAGAGAAAAAGAAACATGCTGACAAAGGGATCTCCAAGGAACCCTCACGCATTCCAACCAAGGAGAATTACAAATGGTGCTGGATTTTTCTATCCGGTTCCTGGCGATTGGTTCTGTATATCAAGAGGGTGTGGAGAACGCAATATTTCCGAGTCCATCATCTGTAAGAAATGTTCCAGTCCGCGCGGAACAAGGAGAGTGGATGGTAGCATCGAGATTTTCCAGCCCGGGGATTGGGTATGTCCATTCAGAGATTGTTCCAGACACAACTATGCCAATCATGTTGTCTGTAAAGGTTGCGGCAGTCGTTCTAAAGCGCCGGCAATTCCTATTCTATGGAATTGTAGCTCATTTAATTGTGGCGAGACAAATGATAACGGCGTGGTACGTTGTCGAAAATGTGGTAATCCTCGTATTATCTTTCACAACCCGCCGCCTCGAGCAACAGTCAATGTTTTCCATGCCGGTGATTGGTATTGCGGTGCATCAGGATGTGCAGCCCATAATTCTTCCCGGGATATCAGCTGTTGGAAATGCGGCGGTACGGATACCACTCTCGTCGCTCCTGGTCAAGTTGGTCAAACTACGACTGGCTATTTTCCTCCCCGGGTTGGAATTGTAATGTATTTGGTTGCGGCTTCTATAATCAGCCTGATTTATTCAACTGTTGGCAGTGTGGCAATCCTCGTGCCGATTTTTTCCGAGGCCCACCGATTTTTTGAATCTAGACCCGATTCCTGTATCGCTACGACGAGAGTAGGTCGATACCGAATCGAAAGTTGTTTGATGCACATGAGTATCTTGGATAGGGATTTTGGAAGAAACCGAAGAGATCTGGATTGTCTGGTTTGGCATTTATGATAAATGGAGGCTCACACCATGAAAGCTACGTCATCCGGGGGGTAGAATTACGCTATATTCTCGAACCAACCATTACCCAACTCTCGGAAACGATTTTTTAAAGCCACGCATGATCCTCACCTCACTTCACCTCACCACAATCATCTCAAACTCAATCCAACCTCTCTCCTCTCAAATCTCAATCCCAATTCTCAATCTTCAACACCCCCACACATTCCCCCCCCCCCCCCCCTCCCTCCAGCAAAACTAATCCCTTATTCAAATTTCAAATTTCAAATTTCAAAATTCATAATCCAAGATCCAAGATTCAGGATCCAAGATTCAGGATACATGAACACAGCGAAACACTTTTCTCTCATCTCACACGTCCCCCTTCTCACCTCTTGAATACAGAGTAGGGACTTAAGAATTGGAAACCAGGAATTGGAAAAATCAATAAACGACTTTCTATACTTAATTCAGAGATGGATGCAGAGAAGCGCAGCGTGATGGAGTATTGATTCAAGATTAGCTTGATATACCTAGCAAAGCAAAGACTAGCGTAGCATAGCATAGCCTAGCGTAGCATAGCATAGCCTAGCGTAGCATAGCGTGATGTATATAATATAATAATGATAATAATGATAATACTCGAGTAGTTTTTGGGTTTCTGAATACTCGATATTTAATATTCAGCACTCAGCACTCAATATATAACATTCAATCTTCTCAATCTTCTCAAGCCCAAATCCCAAATATTTCCATTTCCATTTCCCAGCTTTATTTCGTACAACAACACAACAACAAAACATCTAAATCTTCAGTTATATTTACATCCCAATTATATAGTCGAGTAGAATAAAATTATCATATTATATAGCAAATTACTCTCCTGCCCCCTAAAAGCGATATAATTACTCTCATGCTTTAAAATTGAAAGATAATTTACTCTCATGTATCTTGGATTTTACGATAGATTTTACGATGGAATCTATTCATTTTGAATTAGATTCTAGATATTTTAGATTAGATTCTATGATAAAGAAAGCCTCGATTCTACAACAGGAGACTAGATTCCACAATAAAAAACTAAATTCCAATCATCATAAACTATATTCTATAATCGGAAGATAGATTCTACAGATATATTATTTCTTTTCATCTAAAGTTTTTTTCTTTCTTGTTTTTCTACTATAGATTCTATTCTATATAGAATCTAAGAAGTATAAAAAGAGTAAATCACTCCATAATTTTAGAATGTGAGAGTGATTAAATGACTTTGGAGGAGGATGAAAATAATTTACTATATATTATATAAATATCTCTATATCTCTATATCTCTATATCTCTATATCTCTATATCTCTATATCTCTATATCTCTATATCTCTATATCTCTATTATTATTATTATTATTATTATTATTATTATTATATTATTATTATTATTATTATTATTATTATTATTATTATTAGTAATTTTCAACCGGGCCGTATAGGCGAGCCTCCCAGGGGGCATTACAGTTAAGCTAACTGCGGGATAATCTCTAATTTACATGATCCCCCTCTCCTAAAAATGAGATCTCAATACCCTCAATAGCCTCCCAAGCGATAGCTAACACGCTTGCACTTTTGTCTCCAATCCTCTAAGCACCTCCATACACGCTTTCCAATCTTTTATATAATGTTTTAATTGAGAACTGCTTTATCCTATAAAGGTAGCTTTTGTATGTATTCTAGTACAACACAATATATTACATATATCGATTTTGTTCTTTATAGCCTTACTATATCGATCGCCTCCTATTCTGTATTTATATTCACCCAAATCAATCAATCCATTTCCATTTCCTCTTCCTATTCTTTTGATAGCGTTCTAGAACATATGTTCCTATAGAAATCTATTATAACAATAAATTCAGCAAACTTGACTAATATGTACATTAACTATTTCAATAATCATTCTTGAGCCACCCAATTGCAGAATAAATATTTGAACCTAATATCTGGGGGCCAGGTTTTGTAGGTCACAAGGATTTTGTGGTAATACACAATATGCTCGGGGGATTTATATACACCACATAAACAATAAATCGTTACTTCCTCATATTTAAATCATCAATAATAACTTTCGAAATCGCCATATACTAAACAAATCACTAGTATACAATAAAGAATAGTTTGTGAGAGTTCTAATTCATTAAAACATTTATTTGTACTCCTTGAATTCCATTTCTAATACTATTTAAAAAACATTAATTTCTATTTAATCCACCACACCTATACTACCGATTCCATAACAGTTTTTGCTATAAAGCGGATACCGCTTACTATAGATCGATTCGCATGCCCTGAGGCTGATTTTCTTGTCCCTTTATCAGCAAATGCATCCGCACGCTCTATATCTCTATATCTCTATTAATTATATAGAACATTAATCAATTAATTATACAACATACATACATACATACTTATATACCGTATCATCCATCTAGATTAGATTCTCACCCCTGATCATTTATTTCATCATCTCGCTTATTTTTCTCCGGGTTCTCAATCCATCTTGAAGTTTCGATATTCATTTATCTAATCATTCATTTACTCACTCATTCACTCAAACATTATCTCATCTCATCTCATCTCATCTCATCTCATCTCATATTTCATAATTTTATTATTCATTCTTCCCGTTACACACCTCAGTTTAGCAATCCTATCTACCATGCATCCACTTCCATTCCCTCTACTGCCTCCACAAACTCATTGAGCAAGCGTGTTTCCACAAGCCAAAGGTTACTCAGTATTCACCAGCAACGTATAGATTTTCTGTCTACACATCGGAGTATCCAGCCATCCGTTCTCAGTCCATTTCATGCCAATCCATTCATCCATCCATCGTCACAATGAGCCTCGCCCAACACACGTGGGTATAGCCCATCAACACATATTGTTTTCCCATTACCGACCCCATCCATCCATCCATCCGTAATCATCATAACATGCTATGCATTATAATTCAAAGAAAAGATGTGAAATTGAAGAATAGGTGGTATGGCAAAAAAGAGCAAATTGAAAGTGCGTATGGGAAATCAAATTCTTGCAATGCCAGAGAGTCGAGACAGACAAAAGAGTACATCATAAATTGCGTAAATTCTGTGGTCCATTAAAAAAAAGTTGCACCCAATCCATCCTCAAATTTTTAACGTGAAAAAGAAAAGCATAAAGCTATTCATATAGCATGATACCGCATAAACTATGAGCCAACAATCAAGTTGCTGAACTTTTGCTGTCCTAAAAAGCATGAATTTGAAAGGAAGGCCCCGAGAAATTTTCGTGATCAAGTAGAGTACAAGGTAGAAGGTTCTTGGTCTCGTAAGCCAAGGTGACTGAATATGGTACATCGTCGAAGGTTCCATGCTCTGGTAATCGGTGATGAATGCGACGTTTTAACTTATAAGGTGGGTTTGTTGATATTTGCATTTAAGCTGCTTGAGTGGCACCACCACGACCTCCTCTTGGTCCATTAGCATTTCCACGTCCACGGTTTGCTCCACCAAAGTTGCCTCGAGATTGGTTTCCAGGACGACCTTGTTCAAATCCACCACGGCCACGTTGGGTCATTCCACCACGTCCACCACCAGAGTAACCATTTCCACCGTATGCAGAAGCCTTTGGTCGGCGAGGTTCAACGTAGATAGTTTCTTCGCCGATCTTGTGGGGGTTGGCCTGAGCTGCTGCTTGGTAACCGGAGGCATTGGCGTATTCGACGAAAGCACAGTTCTGAATGCGAATTAGTTATAATCATGAAACACATTCATTGGAATGGAATAAATGGCATACCTTAGCGCGGTTGATATCAAAGTAGACCAACTCGCCGAAAGAGCTCAAGATGGAGCGCAATTCATCGTCCTTGACCGAAGCGTTGACATTACGGACGTATCCCAAAGTTCCCTTGTCTTCTGTTGCTTGCTGAGAGATAGATTGAGGTCTGTTTTGTCTCTTAGCATCACCTCCAGCGGTTTGCCATCCGGCAGAACCTGTTGGTGAGTTGTCCTTCTTCTCGGCAGCTGGAGTGGCAGCGGTTGTTGCTGGGGTCGTTGGTTGCTTAGCAGCTGGTTGAGCGGCAGCAGCGGGCTTTTGTGCAGCTGGAGCGGCGGCGGCCTTTGGTTGCACAATTGGAACAGCGGGTTTTGGTGCTGTGCCAGCTGAAGCGGCAATACGGGCAGCCCAACTCAACGGCTTAGCTGGGGTAGCGGGTTGAACAGGAGCTGGCTTAGCGGCAGAAGGTTGTCTGGAAAGCTCTGGAGTTGGAACGGGGTCCTTTGGCTTTTCGGGTTCCTTGACTTCCTCATCAACAGCCTTCTCAATTTCCTCTGGTGTAGGGGCTGGCTCCTCAGCTTTTGGCTCTTCTGGCTTCTCCTCAACTTCGGTAGCAGCCTCAGTTGATTCTCCATTTGTAGTTGGCTCGGCAGTGGCGGGCTCAGCCTCGATGGTCTCTTCCAACTTCTTGTCAACGACCTCGGCATCTAAAGTAGCTTCTGGAGCTGCAGTCTCCTCGGCAGCACCTGGTGCAGCTGGCATTTCGACGTCCTCAGCAATAGGAGCTGGCGCAGACTCCTCCTTGGTCTCAGTAGCTTCAACTTGTTCTTCTTCACCCTCATCATTGATATATCTGAAGACATCGTTGAGAACGAAATAACCGGTAGCTTGTTGAGCTAAAACGAAAGTTTGAACGAATTTCTTGGGCTCGGCAGACTTGTTGGAAGTTTCACCAATAACTTGGA